AGAATATGGAGGTGATTTTAGTGGGGATTCAGATGTTCCCTGCTTTTATTTTATTAAACAGGCACTTTCATTTTTGGTCCCCATGTTACTGGAGACACTTTTGAAGCAAGAAGAAGATCAAGATCAGGATGAAGGAGCGTGGAACATTGCTATGGCTGGAGGTACATGCCTGGGATTGGTTGCACGGACAGTGGGCGATGATATTGTAGCTCTGGTCATGCCGTTTATTGAAGAGAATATAACCAAACAGGATTGGAGGCAAAGGGAAGCTGCAACTTATGCCTTTGGCTCAATTTTAGAAGGTCCATCGCCCGATAAACTTGTGCCGCTGGTGAATATGGCTTTGAATTTCATGCTCTCTGCATTGGTGAAAGATCCAAATAACCATGTGAAAGACACAACTGCGTGGACTCTTGGACGGATGTTTGAATTTTTGCATGGATCGGCACTGGATACTCCCATTATCACTCCGGCTAACTGCCAACAGATCATCACTGTGCTGGTTCAGAGTATGAAAGATGTTCCAAATGTTGCTGAGAAGGCTTGTGGTGCTCTTTACTTTCTTGCCCAAGGCTATGAGGATGCTGGATCTTCATCCTCTCCGTTGACCCCTTTCTTTCAAGAAATCGTTCAAGCTCTTCTCAATGTAACTCACAGAGAGGATGCTGGAGAATCTCGCCTGAGAACAGCAGCCTATGAAGCCTTAAATGAAGTGGTGAGGTGTTCTAATGATGAAACAGCTCCTATGGTAGTTCAACTTGTCCCTGTCATAATGTTGGAGCTCCATCAGACTCTTGAGAATCAGGTGTCATCTGATGAGAGGCAGAATGAGTTACAAGGACTTCTATGTGGTTGCTTGCAGGTTATTATACAGAAGTTGGGATCTTCTGAACCAACGAAATATCATTTCATGCAGTATGCTGATCAAATAATGGGTTTGTTTTTGAGAGTTTTTGCTTCACGAAGTGCTACAGCTCATGAGGAGGCCATGCTTGCCATTGGAGCTTTGGCCTATGCAACTGGAGCTGATTTTGCAAAATACATGACAGAATTTTACAAGTATTTGGAGATGGGTCTCCAAAATTTTGAAGACTACCAGGTTTGTGCTATCACTGTGGGTGTGGTTGGTGATGTGTGCAGAGCCTTGGAGGAGAAAATACTGCCTTATTGTGATGGGATAATGACCCAACTTCTTAAGGATTTGTCCAGCAATCAGTTGCATAGGTCTGTTAAGCCTCCTATTTTTTCATGTTTTGGAGACATTGCCCTGGCAATTGGAGAAAACTTTGAGAAGTACCTGATATATGCAATGCCTATGCTTCAAAGTGCTGCTGAGCTCTCTGCTCATACAGCGGGTGCTGACGACGATATGACAGAATACACAAATTCTTTGAGAAATGGAATCCTAGAAGCATACTCAGGGATCTTCCAAGGGTTTAAAGGTTCGCCAAAGACCCAGCTTCTGTTGCCTTATGCTCCTCATGTACTGCAATTCTTGGATAGTTTGTACATGGAGAAGGACATGTAAGTAAATTTCTGTATATTCTATTCTATTACCATTGTGAATTTTGCTTCTTGTCCATGTATTGTTTGTTATTTATTTATTTATTGGTGCTTCTTGTCTTCTCAGGGATGATGTTGTGACGAAGACAGCAATTGGTGTGCTTGGAGATTTAGCTGATACTTTGGGTAATAGTGCTGGCCACTTGATTCAGCAGTCTGTGTCTAGCAAAGACTTCCTCAAAGAGTGTTTATCATCTGATGATCATTTGATTAAGGAATCTGCCGAATGGGCCAAGTTGGCAATTAGTCGAGCAATTTCATTTTGAGGATATTGCTAAGGCTTCTAGTTCTTCTTGCATACATCTGCATTTGTTGCGTGGGGGTCTCAACTGCATACCATGAGTCGGGTCATCACCATTTTTGGGCACAGGTGTTCGGTCCTATGGCTGTCTGCATTGCATGTCAGCAACATGGAGTCTGCGTTTTCATTTTTATTTTTTAAATTTATTGTTCTGCATTGCTGTGGAGGAAGTCGGTGGGTGATGACCAATCTTTCTGCTACCTTGGCAGAGAAGATGCGGTTTTTACGTACAGGAGAAGAAACAGGTTGAAATGAGGGAGGAGCAAGAAAAGAGATAGATATCTGCCAATACCGTCAATATTGGAGTTGCATGAGTTATTGAATGTTTTGGAGTCTATGGTGGTCTAGATATTATGTCCTTTACTTTTTATCTTTTTCTTTTTCTTTTATTGGCTGTAGAGTTGAAACAATCATCTTAGTCCATCCATGTGTTTGGGATAGATAATGCAACATATCTTAGCGGTTCCTTAAAATTATTCAAATAATTTTTTGTCACCCGCATCAAAGTTTTGATTCTTAAGTTTTTTACATTTATATGAATAATGTCGCTGCATCCCATCTACAACTAAACGTGTCATTGGCCTGAGATCATAGGTTCTTTGCTCTACATATATGCATGGTTTCTTATGTCAGTGAGAGTTATTAACAAATCTTATGGGACTAGGAGCATATGTCCTTATTGTCAAGGCCTGAATCTTATAGTGGTGGGCATTCATTCTGACGTTTGAATGGTCATTACATGATTAAAATTGTATCTAAAGCAAATTGGTTATTTGTGTTCACAAGGTTCTATCAAGTGGGTTCACACGCCATCGAGCAATTTGAAGTTCTGATTTAGTATTGTAACGTGCTTCAAGACACAATGAGCGTGTATAGTTTTGAATATGAAAAATTAATTGTCCTTATACTTGTTTTAATTGTAGTAGGTGATATTTGATTAGCCGATGGTATAAACAAATCTGTATTGTCATTGCAATGAAAATAAAATTATGTTTAAGCTGACTTGTGAAAGTTTTATTTGATTAAAAAATAGGAACAATTAAATTCTAACTGTTTATAGATTATAGGCTGTCTTAGTTTTGTCCCTATTTTCCTATTGCACAAACACCTAACCAACATTTTAATCATTAGCCATAATTGTTTGAATCTTCTATGGAAAGACAAAAGTAACTTGGATATTTTATTTTGGATGAATTTACAAGAATTCAATTCAATAATTAAATTTTCATTTTTGTGTTTTTGTTAATAGAAGTAATTAGGTGTTTCAGGGGCAAATATTACAATTTTGTACAGCTAATAAATATAAGGTAATAGTTATATTCACAAACAAACAGACAGATATGAAAAAAAAAAAATAGGTCTCGACACGTAACTAGCTATGATTAAGCTTTAGTGTGTCTTTTTCTCTGACGCAAACCCTTATCTCAAGAAAGAAAATAAGTGGTGTATTATTTTGTACTACAGTTTTCTAAAATAAAATTAATGATTGAGTCTTTATTCAAAATTAGTACTTATTACTTGCATATGATAATTACTTGTGCTAACTGAATGACACTAAAAAATTTCCTAAACATTTTAAGGATATGTTTATTGTATTGGTTCTACAAGACGCAATATACTTGTTAAATCGAGTTAAAAGAAAAATACTGATATTATATATAATGTAATTTCACTTTATTAATTTATAAACTAACTTTTTATCACTATAATACTAGATTAATAAACTAATAATCAAACTTTAAACATGAATTTAATTCTGATGATAAAACAATTGTCATTGAGTTAGAAGAATACTTTATGTTACATTTTTTAAAAATTTTGAAGGCTAATTTATTTAAAATAGTAAACTAAAATAAAAATTAGCTGTAATTTTAAGAATTAAAAACTTATCTGTCCTTACTATATTTTTAATATATCTATTGCATGTAATAACTTTATAGAAAAATATATTAACACAATAATTATATTTTTATTTACAATTTTTATCATTTTTAAACTGTTTGTTTGGACTGTACTGATTACGCATAACTATAAATGAAGGGAGTTTATGTTTGTTTCAGAAATTTGAAGAGGTTTGGAAATACAGAAAGAGAGATCATACACAAAATTACTATAAAACTAGAAGAAAATCGATTATAGGGAGAGAATTCTGTTTCCATGGTGACAATTTTGTTTGTTATAAGGTGTGGAAGATTTGATTTTATTGGGTATAAGATGAGTGGCAGTGTCATTGGGGAGTTTTTGTGTTGATGGGTTTCTAGTGATTGGAGGAAGAAGTATGACCTCTGCATTGCCTCCTTCTGCATTTGAGAAAGAAAAAACATTAATATTAATAATAATGAAAATAATAATCATAATAATTATTATAATAATAGTGATATTTTAAATAATAAAATAATAGTATTTTATTTTATCAAATGAAATATTTTTTAATTTATCAAACTTATCGTATTATTCATTAACATTCAAATTAAATATTTTCATTTTTCATTATTTTTTCTTAATTCAAACTGCATTTACTTTCATCTCTTTTTTTCTTTAAATTTATTTTCAAATCCAAACATAGCTTTAGCAATAGTTGTACAAGTTTCACTAAAAATATATTTGAATAATATTTATTTAATTTACTTTGTGTATGTTTGCTTAGTTGTATATTTAAGTGATTTTAAATGCTCAGAGATTTTATACATATGTGAGGTAAACGAACAAATAGATTTTTCTCAATATGGTATAATACAAAGGTAACTTTTTTCCTATAATAAAGCTTCGATGATATTATGATATGTAACAGTAAAGCTTCTAACAAAACCATTATACAAGTGGAACTTGATTGTTAACAGTAGATTAATTAACGGTTTAAAAAGATGTTCGGTTGCGTAATGGGTGACAAAGAGCATAGAAAAAATGGAAATGGAAAAATTAAATAGATTATGTATTAAAAATCCACTCTCTACTAAATGTCACATTAATTAATATTATTTATTAAATAAAAATTTAAGAAATTAAAAGATGTGAAAAAAAAGTGTTAAAATTAATGTTAGGTAATAATATTATTAGTATTTTAGAAGATGTTGAAAAAAGAAGAAAAAGGGAATTTTGAAAATGAAAAAGAGAAAAATGACATATAATCTCTCCTCCACATCCTGGTTGTTGAAGAGTTGAGTGTAGTATGCATTCCTCACCTCATCACTGTGTTCGCTCTCTTCTCTATGTGACTGGCACTCACAACAACACATTCTCACTTTCTATCAAACCCTAACCCTTCAATTCCCATTCAATGGCCATCCTCTCTCAATCCACTGCTACTTTCTCACCTTCCTTCGTCTCCACTCGCTCCGATTTCACTCGCCTCACTCGCTTCCCCTGCCGCGTCACCTTCCGCCGCGGCCTCGCCGTCTCCTCCTGCTTCAACTCCTCCAAGTCCCCTGGCGCCGGAGGGTTCCTCTCGCCGGACAACGGCGGCGAAGTCTCCTACGAGCTGCACCACGACTTCTCTCCGCAGCGCCGCCGCAGCGGCTCGCCGGTGTTCGTCACTCTGCCGGTGAATTCCGTCAGCCGGGAGGGCGGCCGAGTCTTGAGGCCCAAGACGATGATGTTCTCGCTCAAGGCGCTCGCCACTGCCGGCGTCGAAGGTGTCGTGGTCGAGATTTGGTGGGGCTTGGTTGAGAAGAACAAACCTAGGGTTTACGACTGGAGAGGGTGCGAGGAACTTGTTGCGATGGCATGCAAGTGTGGCCTCAAGGTTCGAGCGGTTCTCGCGTTTCATCAGCATGGCGCGGGACCTGATGATCCCAATTGGTATGTGGAAATTGGATCCCCACGTTAGCCATAAAATGACCAAAACAGTGTATACAACCTGAGGATAGTCTATACTTTACAAGCTAGCTTTTGTTACCGAACTAGTTTTACACTCAAATACTTAGATGATATATGAATATATGGATGCTGTTGTTTTGACACATTCTTAGATGATGTCAAAACCTATCTGATATTGTTGTTGAACTTATCGGATTACCCGTGGTTATCTAGTGCTACAACCTTCGTTATGTCTAGTCCTGTGAGGGAGTGTGAGAACTTTCACTTTGACCAGTGATATGACTAGAATAGTGTTATGTAAACAAGACACAACCCTTATCTTAGCTTTTGGAGTCGAGTCAATGTCCAAGTACAAATTGTAGGAGTAATTTCTTTTTCTTATTATGTGATTTAATGGTATGTGGAAATAGTAATTCTGATTGTGTATTTTTTTTTTTATTCAATACTGTATTGACATTTGACCTGGGTTTTGTGTTGATCTAAGTAGAGTTGATTTGGTTTATTTTGAATTATTATTACTATTTTTGTAGGTAGGAATTGTTTCCTAGTCATGAGCCTCATTCTCTGGAAGTTTGTCCCCCTTGTGTAGGATACCGCTTCCTCTATGGGTGCTTGATGAGATAAAGAAAGATGTCGAGTTAGCATATTGTGACCGGTTTGGGAGAAGAAATATTGAATACATTTCCCTTGGATGTGATATTCTTCCTGTGCTGCGTGGGCGTTCTCCTATCCAAGTGTATGCTGATTTTATGAGGGATTTTAGGGACACTTTCAGGTCTTTGCTTGGTGTTATCATTACAGTAAGGTTCTATGATGATTTTGGTTTGTTGCAATCCAACAAGGCTTCGAATTCCACATATTATCATTATTAACAGATTTTGTTGTAATTATTTATGTCATTCTGTTCGTGTTGCAGGGTGTACAGATTGGCATGGGTCCTGGTGGTGAACTAAGATATCCTTCCTTCTCTCCACAAGAGCCGAATTTGGCATGGCCTCAAGAACTTGGAGAATTTCAATGCTATGATAAGGTAGGCAGAAGATTAAGATTTAGGCACTAGTTTGTGTTGTGTTATTGTTGCTCTGTATTATGAGAAACTTAAATGGGGTTAGTATCGTGTTTGACTTTCCTTCTTTCTTGCTTGCCACTTGGCAGTATATGCTTGCTTCTCTGAATGCCTCTGCAAGAAATATTGGAATGCGTGAATGGGGAAATGGTGGCCCATTTGGTACTGGAAGTTTGATGCAAAATCCCGAGCATACTGATTTTTTCAAAAATGATGGTGGTTCTTGGGACACACCATATGGTAAATTTTTCCTTGAATGGTACTCAGGTATGTTGCTGCTGCATGGGGAAAGGATTTGTAAGGAAGCTGAAACTATATTTAGGGGTACAGAGGTCCATATGTCAGCAAAATTGGCTGTCATTCACTGGCACTATGTCACACAATCCCATCCATCAGAGTTAACAGCTGGCTATTATAATACTTTTAACCGGGATGGATACTTATCCATTGCTCGCATGTTTAGCAAGTATGGATTCTCAATGTGCTGCTCTTGTTTTGAAATGCAAGATGCAGTAATGCAGAAGATCAATCCAGATGGTAGCCCTGAAGGTTTTCTTCGACAGCTTTTGTTGGCTGCTAGACTCTGTGACCTAGCACTTGAAGGTCAAAATTTTTCAACTAATTTGGATGATGGTGGATTTACCCAGGTGCTGAAGATGTCAAAATTTTACTCGAATGGGATAGAGAAGCGACCTTTCTCGTTCAACTTTGTAAGAATGGACAAAAGATTGTTTGAATCCCGAAATTGGGATCGGTTTACTCGTTTTGTAAGACAAATGTCTAATGGAAATATTTTTCGAGCCAGATTATATTCTGTTGGTGACACACGGTTTAAGACCGCACCAGTGATGCCAGAGGCGAGATTGTTGTACCACCTATATCAGTACTCTTGAAACCAGTCTTGACCTTTGTTCTTTAGGCCTATTTAATATCACTGCATTCGTTGCAAGAAAATCTGATGACCTCTGGTCTAATGTTGTGAAATGTGTAGTAACTGCTGATTCGTCAAATGATTCTTTTATTGCTTTCCGGCAAGAAGTTACTTCCCCTAAGGTAAACACATTATATTGCCTTCCAGTATTTTTTTAGATGGGTGGCATGTTATACACTTACCTGTATTTGGAGTGGACAGAGATTTAATTTAAAATTAGTTACTGCTGAATTTTTGGGCCATTTCTTTCTAATGTTCTGTTCTGTTGAGATGAACTCCTGGTATGCTGGTTTTATATAGCTGTGATATGCATCTTAATATCAATTGACTGCTGATCTCCTTTCAAACTTGTGCACGTTGACCATCAGTCTTGTTACAATGGTGATGGAAATGTCAGTGCGTGCACGATGAGCGGCAACATGAATAGAAAAACATAACGTAGCAATTTTTTATGTTTAGTGTTAGATGCACAACATAGGCAATTTTGGATTTGGTGCTGGGGGGTTGAGCCTTGAGGACCAATGACACTTCTTGGGTTTTCCCTTGTCATAGCTAGGGGTTTGTCCATTTTAATGAATACCTTTCACTTTTAGGTGTTGTGGTAACAACTGGTCGAACTTCCCGCTTATATTTAATTTTTTGCTCTTTATATACGTTTAAAATCACACTGTAAAGCTAGTATTATGTATCATCCAATCTTTTTTAATTTTCAAGAAAATAAATTACAAAATGTGACAAATTTGTCAAATTTTTTTGCATAATGCACTCCCACCAGGCTTGGAGCTACTGTAACATAAACTAGCCCAGATCATGAAATTGTTAAATAGGAGGATCTTATCAGTGCTGATGTTTGTAGTCAATGTCTTATATTAGTATATGCTATCATATTATGCATTTGATCAATCTATCACAGCATAAAATATTTATTTATTTTCTTATAAAAATCAAGCTATATTATTCTTTCAGTTGATTTTTAACTTTAATTTTCCATGGTTAGGATGTCATCTAATAGTTAATAGGTGTTGAATGTATTTTTAATTGATTATAATGATGAGTAGTCATTGGCGAAAGATATTTAATAATGAAATTTAACAAAAAAAAATTAGTATGTATTATTTTAATATATTTTTTAGTAATAATTAAATAATATGTTAATAGTATCAAATTTACTTTATTTTAGAAAATTAAAAATCATCTGCAATTTTTAAATTTTATAAAATAAATTATAGAATAAAAACTTTATATTGACGAAACCAATTATGAGATTCTCCTTGACAATATTCTTACTCTCTCTCATTTGTGAGCTAAATCCATGGATTTATTCTTTTTAATTTTGCGGTGTTATAGAGGTCTCAATTATACTAATTATTTCTTGTGAACATTTTCTCAAGTGGTATCTGTATAATTATTTTTTCTATATATTAATTTTGTATATGATTTTTAAGTCACGCATTTATGTTACATTATTGTTTATATTGTTTTTCCTTTTTTTTTGTCCCATTAAATAGGGACATTATAATAAATTGAGAAGAAGGATAAATACCCAAGGGATCCCACATTTGAAGCAGTGTACAGAGAAAGTTCAAATTCCCTAAACCGGTGTACACATAATAATGTTTATTGGTGTATTAAAAATTTAATTTGTTAATTTCCTATACTTATAAGCTTGTTCAGTTGACGAAAAAATAATAAATAATACTTGTTTTTTAAAATGATTATAATAAAATAATCATTGTAAAATATTTAACATATGAGATTAAGTTTTTATTACTTCAGGTCATATTCCTATGACTGGATTTATTTTGGCTGGATGACTGTCATTTGTGTGTCTTTGAGCATGTATGAGTACAGTACTTCATTACCCAAGCAGCTCTTGCAAAATAAGTTTTTTTTTTCACCGTAGGTTGCTTCTTTAAGTACTTATTCCTTATGCTAAAAAATAGAAATAAGTTCTAACAGAAAACATAAGTATTTTAATAGCATCCATTTAATATCATTTTAATATATCAATCTAACATTTATATAAATGATCAATTTGATCTTAGTTTGAAAAAGAAATAATATTATTTAATTTTAAAAAATAAACTAAATTAAATAAAAAAGACATATATTAAGACTAAGTTAAATATAAGGTATAAGCACCTAATATTAATATGTATAACATTGATAAGTAGTATTACCACAGTTATCAATATTATGTGTCACACAATAGACCTAACATGTAAATAAAAGAAATTGAAAACAATTTTTTTTTTAAAAAAAATTATGAATTCAGATATAACATCTCTTTAATATTGTTGATATGGTATTAACTAAAAAATATCTAATTTAGTCAATGTCTCAAAAATTAAGACTTCGTTGAACAAAAAACAAAATAAAGAAATACTTATAATTTTTTTTATAAAATTGAGACTAGTAATTAGTTTTTTTTTTATAAAGTAATGATTCTTGAATAAGAATTTCAGGAAAACCCCCAAATATAAAAGAGAAAAAATAAAATTCAACGATCCGTAACAGAGTGGTTGTATGTGCTCTCAAAATCCGATGGATATTGTTGATCCATCAATATTGATTTGGATTTTGAGCAACCCTAATTCAACCGAGTAATCATGTTCCCTTTGAAACCAAAACACCCTCATCTTCTTATGACACTGCATACCTCTGCATGAAAGAAAAAAGCACTATTATTTCTGGTAGGTTTCAGCCACAAAGGGAATTGTCACACACATAGTCAACTTTCTATTTTCTTTTTCTTGGCGTGTCCACTTAGATTGATGAAAAATATCTTTTTACTTACCTAAATTTTTTATATTTATTCGATATTATCTTTAATTACTTTTGTTTAAAAAAATATATAAAATTTTACATTTTTATGATTATTTTGTCTTTATATTATATGTTAAATAAATACAAAAGTATATCATACTACCAATTATATTATACTGATATCTCCAATTCCAATATTAGCCGTTGTGGTATAGTGTCTGTGGGTACTATTTGGTGCGTGACACCTCATTTCGGCCTTCAAATCATTCATCATATTGACTTTAGCACAAATATTCTCTACAAATTAATAAGCATATTAAAATTTATCATTCATTTTATTTTCTTATGTATCATGATTAGTTTGTAAAATTGATGGTTTCCATTGCTTGTGTATGCTCTGATTGAACCAGAATTTTCTGATAAAATATTCTTTTGTTGCCAAGAGACAATATGCTCTACCTATTCTCTGTTTTTTCTATTTAATTTTTAAGAAAGGATTAATATATGAGTATTTTTCAGTAATTAATATTTTGACTTTTTTTTAATTACTATTTAAATTTCTAACGAGAAAATTAAAATAAAAGTTACAAACATAAATTTTAGAATTGAAGTGAAGGTCTCTGAATTTTGTTTCTTCCTTGAAAGCTCTCTTGGTGAGTGCCAGAAAATATGGCAGTCTTAAAGTTAATGTTGAAAGTCTTGTGGCAAATGAACTTACAATGACAGCTCAAAAAGAAAAAACAAAACAAGCATGAAAATTACACATCATAATAGTGCATAAGCAAAAGGTTGACAATGTTGAATGAAATTACTTCTTATCAGTAACAAAGATTTAGATTGGACAAGATTGTTTATTAACCTATACTTAGTACACAAAACATTATCCTTTTTTATACAATCATTTCTTACTTTATCTTTTTAAAATCATTTTATTCGTGTCAAAATGTAAAAACGTGTCATTCTATCGTTACTTTTACTTTTACTAGGTTTGGATACAATTATTAAGTTTTTGTTTATTTTAAGGTAAAATTCAATTCTTTTCATGATAAATAAACTTAAAAAATATATATATATATTTTTTATTAACTAATAAATACTCAAGCATTTTGGCTGCCTGAAAAACTAGTTATTAAAAAAAGAAATAACTAAGCACTTGAATATTTCAAAAAACTTTTTATATCACTCAATATAATACTTCACTGCTTTCACTCTCACACTTCACTCAATTTTCTCATTAGTTAAACAATAAACTATTTTAGGGATATAGTAAAATCAATATTTGTCTATATAAAAAAATCAATAACTATATATATATATATATATTTACAATTCAAGTGTATCATTATTTTAATATCAAATTGGAAAAGGATGTGAAAGTTACACATAGTATAGCTTCATTATAGATGCAGAAAATCATGTCAGAAATGGCATACGATATATTATTTACTTTCTTTTGGTTCATTTTAATGATGTAAAAAGATAGTTAAAATGAAATTAAATACACATAGTAATTGCTTAAAATTAATTTGATGAAAAGCAGTAAATTAAGTTCCATGATAAAGCTAAGAGACAGTTAATAAAGTTGACTTTACACACATGTCTCCTGAGATTACTTTTTTTTACTTTAGTTTCAACTTACAAGGGCAATTTTCCCATTCTAACCTCCCTCTCTCCCTTCAAAAGAAAAAGGGTTCATTCGTCTATTCTCATTTCTCACTTTCTCATATAAAAAAACATCCATATTCTCTCATTTTCTGTCATCCTTCAAACTTCAAACTCTTCATCCAACTTTATGGATTTCAAGCTCAGATTCTCTGTTATCATCTTCCTTTTGCTCTTTGTTGAACTGTATCCAGGTAAGCATCTTCTGCACAAATATATTAATATATATCATATATTGTATATATATAAATCAGAACTAATTAATTCATTTTCTGTGAATTTCTTGCAGCTAGAGTAAACAGCTTGGGGATGAGAGTGGATGTGGCAAAATCACCAACCAACAAGGTAAAGTATTCATCACATGCTAAGAAATATTTAAATATTCATTTCTTCCTTACAAAGTACGAACTTCTGTTTTACTATGGCTTAATTAATCAATAATAATGACAAGTTTAACCATTTTTTAATCGGTGCATATACAAACACTTACAACAATAACTTCACGTCGACTAAGGATAAGATCAATTTAAAATATATAAGTGTGTTGGAAGTCCCACATCGATTAGAGAAAATATCACTTTATAATATATAAGTGAGGTGTAAACCTCATCTTCCAAGTTGTTTTTGTGGGATTTAGTTAGGCTTAAAATCCACTTTTAACTTGGTATCAAAGTCGTGGTTAGATTAGAGCCAATCCTAACGAGTTCTAAGTGAGTATTTTTGTTTTCACCCGTTGTCGGGTCACTATCGGACCCTCATTAATTTCTACTATCACATACAAGATATCTATAGCAGGGTTTTGT